GGGGTTGAGGTTGCATGTCTTGCGGGGGTGGTGGGCTGTGATGGATGGAGACGTGAGGCTAAACTGAACTATGGACTGGGCTATAGCTATGCTCTACGTTGTTGACCATGACGATAGGATAGAATGGATTTATTCAGAGTGTTCTATGTTCTCGTGGTCTGTTTACTTCGAGGCTGAGGCTTTGCACCCGGTTGTACTGCACTCATGATAACTACCATCTGTTCTACCAACTAGAGAAAGTACATGCAATCCTACTAGTGGTAGTACATAGTCAAATAAGGCCCCTTCTTCTCCGAGTACGAGAACGACATCCACGCCTGATGGTCGGTCGCCGTCGCCAGATCCTTGGTCGGGCTGTATGACATAAATTAGCAGCCATCCACAAATTTCCCCCAGGTAGGCATTCAACTCACTAGTACGCCTGCAGGTTCTCGCGATACACCGCCGCCTGCTGCGGCATGTCCCACCGCTCGAAGAACGCCTCGAGCACGGCGGCGATCTTCAGCTCCGGAATCCCCACCAACGGGAAATAGAACTTGGGCACGGGCAGCGGCCGGCCGGGGTGCATCTCGTAGTTCAAGATAAACGGCACGATGGTGTCGGGATCCCCGGGGAGCGAGGGCCGCTCGGGCTCGTCGCGCAGGCCCTCGACGATCCCGAAGTCGCGCCACAGCTCGCGCAGCATCACCAGCCCCCGGGCGACGTCCGCATCGCCCGCCGACAGCACCCCGCCCATGGTCCAGTGCTCCTGGACCTTGGCCCACCGCATGTCCAGCTCCATCAGGTAGAGCTTGAAGCGGGTGGCCGCCGGGTCGACGAGGTCGCATGAGAGAAAGTACAGGTCCGTCCGGGGCTGGGCCTGCATGTGGCGGGCGATGGCCTGGGTGGCGGCCGAGAAGTGGCCCTCCGGGTCGACGGAGCGGATCGCGCCGAAGCACAGGTCGGCGACGCTGCGTCCGGTCATCTGGGCCTTGAGGCCCGGGTAGAAGTACTCCTTCACGGTGATCGCGTCGTCCGCGGGGCTCAGGTCCAGGGCGAGCAGGGTCTGCGTGCGCCACACCGTGTCGCGGATCTGGGCGGGCGTCATGCGCTGCTCGTCGCCGTCCGACAGCGTCAGCTGGCTGTGGAGCTGGTGGTGCAGCGCCAGGTCGATCTGCGCGGCGCCCAGCGTGCGCAGCTCGGCCAGCGTCGCGTGCACCGCGTGCCGGTTGAACGGGTCCATCCCCGTGCTGGCGATGTGGCTGGTCGGCTCGAAGGCCACCCGTGTCGTGATCCCCCGGCGCTGGACGTTCTGGCTGAGTTCCACCGACCCCGTGCCCCCCAGCAGGCACTTGTAGGTGTCCGGCTGCCCCGGGAAGGGCCCCAGCTTGGGCACGATCACCTGCGCAAACAGGTTCAGGTAACCGTATTGCTGGTGCACGCTGTAGTCGCCCCGCCGGAGCATCTCCCCCAGCATGGGGGCCACCGCGTGCCAGTACCGGTGCTGGTCCAGGTTGGCGAAGGGGGTCGACTTGCTGAGGGTCTGGTACGGGGTCGAGGGAGGACCGGCCTTCTCCGTGGGCCCCGGTCCGGCTCCCTCTTGGGGCTTGAAGGTGGCAGCGGTAGTGGAAGTGGCGGAAATCGTCATGGCGATGGATGTGATCAGGAGTCTCTTCGGCCAACCTGGCTCGGTTCGAAGGTTGGCGATTTATTTTGCCGTGCTACGTTCGACCAACAGAAGACTGAGCCAAGAGACAGGAGCTGGGCTCATGAGGTAATCGCTCGCCTTACCTCACTGGGCATTCATGCGTTGTGAGATTGAGGCATGCAAGGGGCATTCTTCTGCACGGGCACTGTTGCCTAGACGTGAGGATCGGCGGGGTGTCTTAGAAAATTAATTTCAAGGATCTGTGAATGATGACGCGCCATGGGCCACTGCACCCGCGAGGGGTAATGCCTGCATACAGACTATTTACCTGCTTATCACGGGGCAGCGCATCCCCAAATCTTGGGCTATTCTGAGAGGCGACTTGTTCCCTTGCGGCAAAACACGTCAAATTCGCTAGCGAGCATCCGCCTCGCCAGGCGCGGGTTTCTCCGTCTTCTTGACCGACCTCCATTCCAAGGCAACCGTTCCAAACACCGAAAGCGCCGCCAGCGCAACCCCCACGTAGAATGCCTGGGTTACGGCGGAGTTGTAGGACCGCAGGACGGTCTCCAGCTGATCCCCCCGCAGCTTTTGGCGCAGCGTGGTCGTCCCCGCGGCCAGAATCTCGGTCACGTTAACGGAGGGATCCTCAACATGCATGACGCGCGTGAACTGGTTCGTGAAGACGCTCTGGGCCACGGAGATGAAGATCGCCCCTCCCAGGGTCTGGGCAAAGGTGACCACCGCGGTCCCCGTGGGGACGTCGCGGTCCGGCAGCACATTCTGCACGACCACGAAGGGCAGTTGCTGGCCGAGGCCGACTCCGATGCCTTCGAGGATCTGGTAGCCGATCCACTGGCCTGGGCCCGACTTGGGCTGCAAGGTGCTGAGGAGTCCCGCGCCCACCGCGAGGATGCTCGACGCCAGGAACATGAAGGGATTGTAGTAGCCGGAGAGCGTGACGGTGACTCCGGAGAGAATGGAAACGAGCACGACGGCGAGGATACTGGGGAGGCTCATGACGCCGGATTTGGTGGCCGAGGCGGATTTGATGGATTGGAACCAGATGGGAAGCTGGCGGCAGGTCAGTGGACGGGATGAGGAAGACGGAAGGGGTCGAACACAGCTTACATAGTAAGTGAACACGAAGTAGGCGCCATTTAGCGTCAGGGCAAACCAGGCCGACGACCAGATGTTGCGATTGCGCAGGATTCGTGGCGGGAGGGTGGCATCATCGCCCTGCCAGACTTGACAGCCTCCGAAGGCGAGCAGAAGCACCCCCGCGACCACGAACAGCACGATGATACGCCAGTTATCCCACGCGTACTGGTTACCTCCCCACTGCAGCGCCAGCAGCAGACAGACGATGGCAGGCAAGAAGAGGCCCGTCCCTATCGGATCAAGCTTTCCCAGCAGATGACGGAAATTCGGTCGCCTCTGAACTGGTCCGGGGGCGTGGAAGAGGAAGAACACAAAGAGACCCGTCACGGCACCGATGGGGAGGTTGATGTAGAAACACCATCGCCACGAGACGTGATCGGTAAAAGCGCCACCCAGGCTATATCCGGTCAGCAGGCTGTCAAGTCAAGACGGTGGGGGAGATAAGCCATGGATTCACTCACGGGGGACCAATGACGCTAGCAATTCCAAACATGCTACCCAGCAAGGCCGTGAACACCGGACGCCGATGTAAAGGCACCACCTGGGCGATGATCAGTAGACTGCCGGAGAAGAGACCCCCGGCACCCAGACCAGCCAGGCATCGACCCAGGATGAGGCCGAGAGAGTTGGGAGTCGCTCCGCAGACGGCGGACCCGATCTCGAACAGGCAGAGGGCCGAGAGATACACCCATTTCGTCGAGTAGTAGGTATAGAACTTGCCAAATGCCAGGGTAGTGGCGCAATTGGTGAGCAGATACGAACTCCCGTACCATCCTACGTCGTCCAGAGAGTTGAATTGGTCGGCGATGTGCGGGATGGCCGTAGCAATGATGGTGACATCCTGGGAGAAAGGCATCAGCACTGTAGTCATCGAAGTCGCGGACTCATCACCGACTTGCTTACCAAGGACATGCAAAAAATGCCTAGACAGAGGGCAATGGTAAGAGACAACACCGTCGAGCCCTTTGGAGGGGCTGTGGGCGACTTGGGCGCTGCATCGGGGGTTTCCTTCGGTGCTTCTTGTGATGCATGGTCAGTAGCGGGTTTCTCCATTGGAGGCAGTTTTCTTCATCTGATGGATGCTTGCAATCAGCTATAACGATGGGGAACATCTAGTTCTTATGATGGCTGATGTGTTTTGTTGTTGTTTTTCCAGGCAGGGGACGATCAAAACATTGGGCTGCCCAGCCATTCTTGATACGGAACTTAATCAGGGACTCCACTCATTGCAGAGTTGAAAAGGCAGGGGCCTTGCAAGGCTATCGATAAGATGCAAAGCCTTCTGTGATTCTGGGGAGGCGAATGACCTGAGACAACCACAAGTGAGGGCTGAGGCGCCGACAAATCATGCAACTGCAGGGGAAATCAATTGGCCGCCATGTATAGTTGCGGTCTCCGAGTTCTGTGTTGTTTCGGAGCCGTGGTCGGGCCTGGATCTGATGAAGCTAGAGACTTGGTCTAGCAATGTGGCGTTAGATAGAGGGAGTAGAAGTAGCTTTTCAAATCTTCAATTCGGTCGGCGCTCCAGGACAACCAAATAGCATCTAACCTGGTCTTCCCTGAGGCATTTACACGTGAGAAGCGGTAGAGTAGGGTTTGAGTCGTGAGATGTTGAGGTTTGGTCAATAATCTGACCATTTACCAAGGATATATATTGTCAGACCCCGTTAGCAACATTGGTCCTATTCCAGAGTGTGCATAGAAACATAGTACAGCATCTAGACCGTACCTAAACCCCACTGCTTCAGTATACAGCTATCTATGTAATATACAAAGATATTAATTTTTAATTAAATCGAATAATACAAGTCATAGCTATTGCACCCCCCGAGGGAGTCTCCAGCCACGCACTTTTGAGGCTCACCGCACGGGCCGATGGGTGGGCAGAAAGCAGCATTGCGTGGGGCTTAAAGCGGCGTGCCTGAAGCGGATCATGGATCCGAAAGGGAAGGTAATTCCACGGAATGCCACAGAATGATTGCCGCAAGAATCAAGAACCAACGAGCGAATGGCCCACCCGGCGATAAACATGCCTCTTCGGGTGATGCACTATCGATAGCGTACTGAGAACTGAGGGGTATCTGGACGCCTCCCTTATCGGAATCGTGGGACAGATGGAGCCCCGCTGATTCCTCCATTCCGAATCAGTCCAGCAAATTGACAATTTATTCCCCAAATCCAGTTTAGGCAGTTCCAGCCTGACACTCCACAAAACCCGAGCTGTCTGCTGTCTGCTGCCATTGCAACTGTCTTGTCTCTTGTTTTTTCTTCTCGTCTTCCTCTATCCAACCTGGGGATTCTTTCTGTGACCTTGCGCCAGGATGTCCAACCTTTTCGTCGAGCTTACCACGCCCAACGGCCGCCAGTACAAGCAGCCCACGGGGTTGTTCATCAACAACGAGTTCCGTCCGTCGTCTGGGGGACAAACCATTGTGTCGCTGGACCCAGCGTGAGTAGCTGTCTAGCTCTGCAGCGAGACAGACATAGCAGCATGGTACTGACGATCGCAGAACGGACAAGCCGATTGCCACGGTGCACGCGGCGACCGCGGAGGATGTCGACGCCGCCGTCCAGGCCGCCAAGGCCGCCCTCGCCCATGCATCGTGGAAACAGCTGCCCGCCACCGAGCGCGGCCAGCTCATGGGCCGACTCGCGGACCTGATCGAGCAGAACAGGGAGCTGTTCGCTGCCATTGACGCCTGGGATAATGGTTGGTTCGCCTTCAGGCCCCCCTCCCGCAACACTCGACGGTTAGCGATAGAGCGGCTCTAATATGCACACCAGGAAAACCATACCACGTCGCATTCAACGAAGACCTCACCGAAGCCATCAATACCATCCGCTACTACAGCGGCTGGGCTGATAAGACCCACGGCCAGACGATCAGCACCACCCCCCAGAAATTCGCATACACCCTCCGCCAGCCCCTCGGGGTCATCGGGCAGATTATCCCTTGGAACTACCCGCTCTCCATGGCCGCCTGGAAGCTTGGTCCTGCTTTGGCTTGCGGAAACACCGTGGTTATCAAGGCCGCCGAACAGACGCCGCTGAGTATCTTGGTTCTCGGCACGTTGATCAAGGAGGCTGGGTTCCCGGCTGGTGTGGTGAATATCATCAATGGGTACGGTCGCGAGGCGGGAGCGGCTCTGGTGCAGCACCCGCTCGTAGACAAGGTGGCCTTTACTGGTTCCACTGCCACCGCGCGCGAGATCATGAAGATGGCTGCCGGTACGCTTAAAAATATCACCCTCGAGACGGGTGGCAAATCGCCTCTGGTGGTGTTCCCCGATGCCGATATGGAGCAGGCGGTCAAGTGGTCTCACCTCGGCATCATGTCGAACCAGGGCCAGATCTGCACAGCGACCTCGCGTATCTTCGTGCACCGGGAGGTGCTGAACACCTTCCTGGAGCAGTTCAAGAAGGAGGTTGAAACGACGTCAAAGATCGGTGATCAGTGGGATGAATCGACATATCAAGGCCCTCAGGTCACTCGCGCGCAGTACGAAAGAGTGCTGTCGTATATCGAGCTGGCTAAGAAGGAGGGCGCTAAGCTTTTGATTGGTGGTGGCGCATACACCCCGGCTGACAGCAAGTTGGAAAAGGGATACTTCGTCCAGCCCACGGCGTTCACGGATGTCACTGATGACATGCGTATCGTGCAGGAGGAGGTGTTTGGACCTGTGGTGGTCATCATGCCGTTCGACTCGGAGGAGGAGGTCATCCGCCGCGCCAATAATACCACGTATGGTCTAGGTGCTGCAGTCTTCACGCGAGACCTGGAGCGGGCTCACCGGGTCGCGGCAGAGATCGAGGCAGGTATGGTCTGGATCAACAGCAGCCAGGACTGCGACCCCCGCATCCCCTTCGGAGGAGTGAAACAGAGTGGTATTGGCCGGGAGCTGGGTGAGGCGGGCTTGGAGGCGTACTCCCAGATAAAGGCGGTTCACATCAACATGGGCAGTCGACTGTAGATAGACCATTCTGATAGACGGTCGTGATGCCACCGATTAGATGATAATGATGAAACGGCGTTAAGAAGATTTTTCGACCGAATGAGCGAATCCGCCAAACACCACATCGGCGGTTATAGTGTCCTTGTGTCTGTTTCCTTTGTTTGCAGGATCCACTCCGTCTTTTGTCAGGGTTGTAAAACTCGCCGCTGTCCAAGGCATAGAAGTCATAAAGGACGAACGAAGAACACAGTGGAAGACACTCCCTGTCCAGTCACTAGTCCTGATCTTTGTGGCTTATACGCACCGGAGACTCCGCGCGGTGGTCTCTACACCAAATGACGCATCCGGCTTTTTTTCGGAGAGTTGGACCTGTGAGAGAGGAGGAGAAAGCAGGACAGCCATAAAAGCTCGCTGCTGCTGTCTGCCTTTTCCTTTCTCGGGATTCGTTGACTCTCAACTCAGCATCGTCCTTGCCTATCTGTTTATACCCCTATCATAACGACAAACGACAGGAGGATGATGTCTCCGATGGGAAAGCCTGCTCGATGGGGTTGAAATGGAGATCCAACGACGAGACGAATGGTTTTGCACGACACATCCAAGGGCCGACACAACAATCAATATGCACAATGATATCACGAGAGTTGCTCACACTGTTGAGCATCAAGTCTGACACAACCCTTGCGGACATCCAGCAAGGCCGGCCAAGATTTGTTGTGGCAGGAGGGGCATAGTTGGAATGGCGGATTCGGGCTAAAGTTCGAATACAGAAATTGAGGAAACCAGAGAAAAAAGAAGGCAGGTGCGTGTGCCACAATGTGTTACCTGACACCGTACTAATCATTCGTGTTAGAAACAAGATGCTATTGTTTCTGATGGTCTTGGACTAAATTATAGTTCATCGTGTGTCTTCAAGCATACTTTGGTTAACGACGAAGAAGATCTAAGCTCTCTCCTCGTGTTTTTGTTGGTCTTTCAGCATTACATAGCCATATTCACAGCCCAGTGAATGAAAAAGCATTGGAGGCCGGTTGGCAGCGCACAAGGAATTGGACTGAATGTTCTCTTGCGCATATCTTGCGGGAAGATGGCTTGTGTCGAGAAAGGCAGCCGCCCAGGTTTGCGATGGATGCCGGTCATCGTACATATGCTTCGTGTTCGCACGACTATCACATGCCACCAATACCTGTTATATGGAGCTTATAGACCGCTTCTATGCCTGCTCTAAGTTTTGACGAGCTCATCCGATAGATCTCTTGTGCTCTGCTGATTGAGGGATGCGGCTTGTTGAATCGATTGGGCGACGAATCGGCGATGGAATGCTCCAGCAGCGTATCTTGATTTCCTCCGATCAAAATAATAATCTTGGAAGTCGACCCCAAGCTCGAGAGCTAGAAGAGTCGGTGTGGCTTAGCTTGGCGCGGAGGCAAGGGAGGGCAAATTACCCCTTGTTGCTGCAGTGGATAGATGAGATTGTCTCCGGTCATCGAGACATATAAATTGAGCGGTGGTCCTGCGATGCTCTCGACCGAAAAGACTTGGATCACACGTTTTGAAAGCAATTCGCGACGATGACGGCAATCGTTTCGCCGCCAATATGTATTCTTCCGAGGGTTGCCCTTTCCGCCAGTGCTGATACTTCGGCCAGAGCCGCGCCGAGGCCAGGAGAGCGCGAATCGGTAGTGCTGGAATGGCCCCAAACGGATGCACGGAAGTGGCTTGAGAGCGGAAGCAAGGTAGATTCCTTGGTGCGGGTGGCTTGGGCCCTGCTGCTGCGAAGCTATACCTCTCTGGATCACATCTGCTTCGAGCTTGCCACGAGCACAAGGAGGCAATTCGAGTTGTACGATTGCCACATCACCGGCACGACTACGCTTAAAGACCTTCTGCACGAGAAGGAGCGAGGTGAGAGAGAGGAGTGCTCCTGTGAGGGCTCGGAGTCTCTGTGCAGGGACGATGGCGGAAACCACCATGAAGTCTGTAACACTATGATCGCTGTTGAGGTGGACGGCGAGATGCAGGATCAACTAAGGGAATCTGCGAGCGTGTGTACTTTCTTCCAGCGTCTTCTCATTCAATAACCAGACTTGACTAAGCAAGACGCAGTCCAAGCTGGTTGTGAAGATCATTTCCAGCCATGGCCATCCGGCCTTCTTAACAGCGATTGATTTTGACCCTATGAGCTGGTCTCGTCAGCAAGTCAAGGCATTGGCTCAGACTTTCCACCACGCAATATCGGCTGTCATTCGAGACCCCGAGCAACAAGTGGGAAACATGGATTTGTGCAGTGAAGAGGATGTCGAACGTATGGCTAGATGGAATATGCCTTTCAGGAGGACCTCCGTCAATGACCAATGCGTGACGGAGATCGTTCTGCGCTCTTGTCGCGAACGACCAGAAGCCATCGCAATTTCAGCTTGGGACGGGGAGGTCACATACGGTGAGCTAGAGCGGCTGAGCGCTAGGCTTGCCACTAAGCTGATCAGAATGGGCGTTGGCCCCGAGGTGACCGTTCCCATACTTACGGAAAAGTCAAAATGGTTAGTGGTCGCGGCCTTGGGCGTGATGCGTGCGGGTGGTTCCTTCCTCACGGTGGATGTATCCAATCCATTCGAGCGTATTAGAAAGATGATTGAGACCGTTTCTGCGCCACTTGTCGCGTGTTCGCGCGGTTGCGAGTCGCTATCCCGTCGCTTGACCCCGACAGCCGTGATCATTGAAGACGCTGCGACCTCTCTCGACCAGGACATTGACGACAGAGCTCTGCAGCAACAACAGGAGCGATCGTCACCTTCAAATGCTCTGTACGTGGTCTTCACATCGGGGAGCACGTCGGAACCGAAGGGTCTAGTACTTGAGCATAGGGCATTCTGCGCCTCGGCTCTGGCAACGATAGGACCGCTGATGCTGGGACCAGACACCCGCCGCGTACAATCTGCCGCGAATGGGTTTACCCTGTGCAACCGCGAACTTCTGCTCATGCCTATGGTGGGAGGTTGCCTTTGTATTCCCTCTGATAACGACATACGTACGGACCTGGCAGGGTTCATCAACCGCCACCGTTGCAACTATGCATTCTTGACGCCAGTTTTGGTGGACGTTGTGAAGCCACTTGATGTCCCGACCCTTCGTGTGCTCTTACTTGGGGGGACAACAATTGGCATGTCCCAGGTGAAGGAGTGGGCAAAGCATGTGCGTGTGATGTACGGGTATGGGGCAACTGAAACGGCCGGGGTTGCCATACTAGCTCCTGACTTTGGGCCAGGTTGGGATGAACGCAGCGTCGGGTATGCCTGTGACCCTTGCTTGTGGGTCGTAGATGTGGATGACCCGAACCGTTTGGCACCTGTCGGAGCCGTTGGGGAGCTTGTGCTTCAAGGAAAGGGTCTCGCAAGGGGGTATTGGGGCGACGAGGAGAAAAGTCGTCTCGTGTTCATGAAGTCAGCCGACTGGCAAACCCGAGTCACTCCGTACGGATATGGCAGTTTCCGAGAGCGCCTTTACCGCACTGGAGATTTGGTACGGTACAATCTGGATGGGTCTATCCAGTACATTTCACGAAAAGATAGCATGATTAAGGTGAGCGGCAGGAGGGTGGATCCCGGGGAGATTGAGCATCACCTCACCAAGTGTCCGGAGCTCGTCAGTCGCGGTGTGCGAAAGGTTGCTGTCATTACAGTAGACGGACTCAAGCATCGTGGGAAGATTATGCGGGCGCAACTCGCTGCGGTCATTGAACATAGCTCAAGCTCAGCGCAGGGCCCAAAAGTACAGAAAGCTGGGGCGTTAGCCATGGTTCGATGTGATTTCAAGTGCGAATTGGCAACAGCAGCCAAGAAGTATCTGATGACCCGTGTCCCTGGATATATGATGCCACCTCACTTTTTCCTCGTCGAAGAAATGCCGCTGAACAGGTCAGGGAAGTTTGATAGGTTTCGGCTGAAATCGGTGGTATCTGAGACGCTAACCGCAGCCAACGAGGAATATCCCGAGCCAGAGGATTCATGTCCGACCCCGATGGCCATTTCAACAAGGGCAAACTTGGTCAAAACGACAGAAGCGCCGCAGGTTCCTGTGGCTGATAATGCCCCAGATGACGCATCGGTCCCGGTAGTGCAGTTGCGGAAATTGATAGCTCAGGTCCTTAAGCTTCCTCAAGATGCGGTCCGAGCCGACAGCAATTTCTTCGCAATCGGAGGAGATTCAATAACCTCATTTCAGCTGGCTTCGCTCGCAGGAAGAGAAGGTCTTCATTTGACAGAAGATACCATTCTAAACTGTCCAATCTTGTCCGACATGGCCCAGGCATCGAGGCCAAAACCTTCACATAATGGGCGCCAGGCAACGCGGACGAGCTCTGGCAAAGAGCAATTCGCTGCTGCTCAGAATGAAGGATTGCGTCGACTAGTACCGGCGGAGCTATCTTATTTGGTGCTCAAGATGCTGCCCCTTGCCGACTTTCAACAGACGAGCTTGACAATGATGAACTACCGGTATTTCCGGTTTGGCCTGCCCTTGAACTTCGATCGGAGCCGGGTCATCCGTGCTTGTCAGCAGCTCATTGCTCGGCATACAATTCTGCGAACGGCCTTTGTCTCTCAAGACGGAGAATATGCTCAGGTAGTGTTGAAAGACTGGCCGCTGACAATTCGTGACTTCGAAACGGATGATCTGGACCGATATTGTTCGGACGACAATGCTGTCGCAGAGAGTCCCTCAAGTGGTAGACCGCCCTTTGTTTCGCAGTTGGTGACTCTCAAGCAAACGGGCGACGTGTTTCTCGTATTCCGGATTGCCCATGCGCTCTACGACGGGCTTTCTGCCTCCGTCCTCGTCGGTGACTTTGCCGCTCTTTACAACGAGAAGCCATTGCCTGCGACAAGCCCATTCTCCGCTCACCAGCAAGCAGTGCTGGGGCTACAGACGGACGTTGCGTATAATACTTGGCGAAAGGTCCTGCAGGGAACCCGGATGACTTCACTACGCGAGCACAGACTTCCTATCCCCGGGCCAGAGGGCAGTACTGCACGGCCGGCATATGTGGTTAATGTCGTGAAGACAATCCCTGCTGTTTCCTTGCCATCCGGGATCACCCTAGCCAGCTTGCTGAAGGCGGCATGGGCTGTCACGCTTCTCCGGTACTTTGCTTCGCAATCTGAGAGCTCTGGGGTTGTCGTCTTCGGACAAGTTGTGCACGGACGGAATGTCAATGTGGCCCATGCGGACCGCATCCTCGGCCCTTGTATTAGCATTGTCCCTGTCTCCGTCTTGTTTGAGCCGATGGCCTCCAAAACTGCGGTCCTTCACGCGATTCAGCAGCAGCACCTCGAGACTATGCCCTACTCCGCATTGGGATATCGAGACATCGTGAGGAACTGCACGATCTGGCCCACGCCCACTCCTCTCGCCAGCTTCGTGCGTGTCCGCAATTATGAATTTCCGACTGACTGCTGGCTCGATGGAGTCCAGTGCCACGCCAGCCACTATCCCCTGCCCAATAATCCTTCACAGGCTGCCAATGTGCATATTATTCCTGAGGCGAATCTACTGCATGTGAACATCGCGATCTCGAGTCACATCCTTAGTGAGCCGCAGGTCGAGTACCTGGTTGGGGAGTATTGCCAGACGATTCAAAGTTTTGACAGGAGCGTCATTGAACGCGAGTCGCATATTCTTGGACCGGAGCCCTCGCGTGTGTAAACAGGATCACTGAAGAAACGCACGCGGTCTCCTTCAAGCTTGTTGCGACCTACTGAGACGGTGTTGCAGTCTTTCTCGTCATGGTCACCGGTAGAAGTATAGTGGATGGATCTAAGCAAGAATCAATTTTTAGTATTCGAGCTTTCTGATAAGAGCCAAGGTATTGTGTCTGAGGGCAGGGTGACTGTCAAGGCTTTGCAAAAGGACCAACGACATCTCATAGCCATACTTTGTTCTGCGTGCATCTTGAGATATTATCTCTGCACCGTAGCGGGAATGTCACTGCCAGTCAGGGAGACTCATCCGGGTAGAGCATAGGCACGTCTGTTTGACCGGGATGATTGTCGCGCTGCATCTGAAGTAGTCATGGCTGTTGGACAGAAGGCCTTGGGTGGTGCGACAGACTACATACACCAAGACCGGTCAGCCTCTAATCCTTTCATCACAGGGACTGGCACGGGTGTACATCGTTGTAATGATAGTGAATTTCACCTAAGAGTAACTTCGGAGGTATGTCGCGTTACAAGGTTTGAATCTCGAAGCGGAGCAGCATAGGCGACATGTTCTTTTGGTTTCTTTCATGACGATGGCGTTGGAGGGAAAAAGAACACTACTTGAGATAGATCTCACCAGCCATTATCTCACAAGGATCGCTTGCGATACTGGTATGCGACAGGAATCGAAAAGGAGAAGAGAGAATTGGAGTGAAGCCGAATGATATGCGAAGAGTGTGAAGGCAGTTCAGGTTTGCCAGGATTGTAGGCTGGACACGTGACCAGTAGTTGCTTCTCAAACAGGAAACTCCCAGCAACACCCCGTGACATGCAAAACATTTGGCTTGCTATTCCAAATACACACTGAATTATCTCCCTACCACCTCCTCAATGACTTCGCTCTCGTCCTTTATTCCCATGACTTCCCCTCCCCATTCACCACCATCCTCTATCATGGCTTCCACCGAGCCTGTCATCGACAATCCCACTGAGCCTTCTATCAAGCTTCCTACTGAGGTTCCGGCTGAGACTCACACTGCGAATCCCACCGCATCCCTCACCGAGCCTGCCAAAGACCTTGTCTCCGAGACCCCTACCGAGCCTTCGTGTGAGAATTGCACTGAACCTATTACTGGGGCTTCCGTCAAACCTGTCAGCATGCCAGCCCCTGCAACTTCTACTGAGACAACCGAGTCTTTCACCCGCACTACCGATGCTCCCGTCTCCGAGACTTCTACCAAAACTACCACCGAGCTTTCTCCTGAGAGTTGCACTGCGCCCACTACTGAGTCCTGCGATGAGCCTGTCAACATAACCACCACTGAGACAGCTTCTGAGCCCACAGTCGAGCCTCTCACTCAGCCTGCTAGCGTCACCATCTCTGAGGCTTTCATCAAGTCTTCGACCGAGCCATCATCCGAGTCTGGTGGTGAAGCTTCAACTAATAGCGCCCCCAGCGAGACCTCCAAGCAGTCTGGCAGCGAGAAGATCATGACATACGAACCTGAGGACACTCCCGAACATCTGGCAAAGATGGAAGAGCTAGGTGCGAGTGGTATGCTCACTGAGCGCTCCACCGTACCTTGCTCAGCATGCTCTTTCAGTCCTGAACGACAGAGGTGCTGCAACTACGAGAGTCAAGTCAAGATCTTCTACGAAGCTGGCGATCGCGGCGTTTGGGCCTTGGGCTCCGACCTTATCCTCAAGGACCGTGGCCCTAGTTGTCCGACCGATGAAAACGCAAACATTCGCTTCGTGAAGAAGAACACCACCATTCCTGTTCCTACTGTGATCGCGCATCACCAGGAAAGTGACGGTCACGCTTTGACTGTCATGAATCGCGTTCCTGGAGAAAGCCTCAGTGAGGCTTGGTCTAAGCTAACCGACAACCAGAAAGAGAACATAGCGAAGCAGACTGCCAAGTATCTCCTCCAGCTCCGCTCCCTCCAATCTGATCGTGTCGAAGGAGTAGACGGCCGCCCTGTCTACGATGGCTGGTTGTACAAGGAAAAGGGTCGCCATAATGCTCCATGTCCTCCTATGATGTCTGATGACGAAGTGTGGAATGGGTTGGCGGTACATCTGGATCCAGCCGTCCCCGAGTCAGCCCGCCGCCAGCTTCGACGCTACATGCCACCCACTCAACCTTTTACCTTCACCCACAATGATCTCACCCACGTCAACATCATGGTGCAGAGTGGTGAGGTGGTGGCAATTCTTGATTGGGAGAGAGCCGGTTTCTTTCCTGTTTGGTGGGAGTATGTTTGTACAATGGCAACTCATGCAGGGAAAGAAGACTTTGAATGGAACAAGCTACTGCGCAAGCACATGCCCGAGATGGACGATGCTCATGACTTTTTCCTGTACTACTATCATCTGTGCATCGACTTGGAGAGTGATGCAGCAAAGACGTTCATTGCCATGTCCGAAGAGTACGATTCTGAGAAAGATGAGTCCGAGGAGGATGAGTCCAAAGAGATTGGGTCGTGAGATTTGCAGCCTCCAACGTATGTTCTAAGTTCTTGCCTGATCTACTTACGATCCTCTGCTTGCTGTCACAAATACACAAGGCGTTTTCTATGGTCACGTCTCGTTATGTATCTACTATGACCAATTTGCTCAATATCAGAAGATAGTGCTCAATGAAGAGTCAATTTGTATGTCGCTATTCCGGTAGACACAAAGGAACAAGCAAAGTAGCAAAAGACAGAACGAGCCTCAAGGCTTTACAAAACTTCCATGCTCCTGAAGAAGATTCTCAGAAGACGAAAATGAAGATAAAAACCCAAAGCCCTCCTATCGGTGGTAGGATAAATCCGTCCAAATGCCATTGCATCTGACCTTGTGACTTGCGAAATCAAGATGAACTTTCTTGATTCCATTTTTCCTTATCTTCTGTTTTTTAGCCTTTCTGCTATCCGGGTGGCTAGATATAATGTTAGCTGTTGTGCTGCAACATCGCAGATTCACACCTAGAATCACTTGCATTCAAACGTCAAGATCGATCGTAAAATTCACACCCCCATTCCACAAACCACCACAAGAAAGCCCGATGCAAAGCTTTAAAGTCAGAATTGGCCTTCTGCCTTGCAGTCTCACCAGCATAGGAGATAGACTTACCACGCAACGAAGCACAGCCCTGAAGCGGATCCGCATCACTTAGCCTTAGAGCCAGACTTAGAGCCGGCATTGCCGCCAGCCCCGCCGCCAGACTTGCTGCCGGGCTTGCCCTTGGCATCGCGCATAGGCACAGGCTTCGGCTTGGGCTTCGGCATGGGCTTCGGCTGGATGGGGGTGTTCTCATAGTTGTCGACGATCGCCTTCTCACACTCGTCGCACTTCAGCTTGGGACTGTCCTTTTTGTTGCTGGTCATGTTGTTCCAGCCACACTTCTTGCAACGCATGGTTTGTGGTTGCTAGAAACGGTGTTCCGGGTTCACGGGGCGGAAGATTGAGAAGTAAGGGTCTGGGGCGGCGAGCCGCAGGTGAGGTTCTGGAACGGTGTGAAAGTCAGTTATTGGGTTCAGATTCCTGCACGGACTTTTCCTACTGACTGGTTTTGGAACGTAGAGGTTGGATGTGCAAGATAAGCAGGTTTGGGGGTAGGAAGGTGGGTGGTGTAGATGAGATCGATAGGAACGAAGAAGATGGCGAAGGAAGTGTTGGTGGTGAGAGAGTAAGAGACGGTGACTCCGGGGACGGCTTCGGGGGAGGCCAGTGCTGGAAGTAACACTGACGGCCCGTGTGTTAGGCTGCGAGGCTCGGGGCCTACAGTGAAGAACCCCTACTAAGTTAGTAGCCTAGTACCTGGAAGTGAATGCTTTGCTCTCTGGGAGTGTGAGCATTTCGGTCCATCGATCCCTAAGAAACAGTCTATGGTAAAATTGGTTTTGGTCTGTGGACATCTTGAGTGTGACAGTAATCAAAAGATATATTGAATGTTTTTTCTAGACTAATATCCTGTGAGTATAGAAACAAGCTCCCATAAACAAAGAGTTTAAGCTATTATACATCCCGCACCCACCGCAACTGCACATCCTTGTGATCCTTCACCTGCATCGTGGACTTTGTAATCGCGTTATCCGTCAACCACACCAACCTCCGCCGCAGCTCTTCCGGCTGCGTGATCCCATCGACGGGGATCGGCTCGCACCACGCAGACCGAAACAGCGTGGCCATGGTGGAGACAAACTCCACCTGGGACATCTTCATCCCCGGACAGACGCGGGGGCCGCCAGACCACGGAAGAAACGTCCCCTTCGGTGGGGACCTCACTTTGCCGGTGTCATCGATCCAGCGCGAGGGTCTGAAATCTCTGGCATCCTCTCCCCAAATTGTTGTGTCAAGATGAATGGCCGCCGCAGAAACCATGACGTTCATCGGGGGCGCGAGGAAATGCGTGCCTCTTTCGCTGACGAGCTGTTGAGGTTCGGACACGGCGCGGGTCGAATGCAGGACGGGGGTAAAAAGGCGGAGGATTTCGAACTGTATAATCTTCTCAGGAGTTTGGTCACAAGGTGAGAAGGAAAAGAGATGGGTACCATGAGCGCCAATGTCCGTTGGCACTTGGGGAACACTTCGTCGTAGGACCAGGCTGACGAGTCTACAGGAAGGTCACGCAGTTCGTCGCGGATCCACTCCTGCCATTCGGGATACGCGGCCAGCAGCGTCACTGCGAACCCCATGGTGTTGGCAGACGTCTCGTATCCCGCCACGGTGAAGACATAGAGGTTGCCACTGAGCTCCTCTGGCGTGAAGGCAAACCCGGCGGTCGCGTCTGTGTCCGAGTTCTGCAGGAAGAAGCGGAGAAAATTGCTGCGCCCCGGAGAATCATCCCTCGCCGTCTGGCGCTCCTCTTCAGAGATTTCAGCGATGTACCGCGGGACTTTCTCGAGACGTTGGCCCAGAAGGCGCAGTTGGGCCGGCATGAAGGATAGTTTGAGGAGCTTGGGAGGGATGAAGGCGGCCACGAGGAACATATCGGTTGCCAGCGCGAGGGCTTTGAAATAGGCCGTACGAGCGTGCTCTTCCTTGTCGGCGCTGTCTCGAAGTGGTGCCGGTGACCAAGGGGTGGTTTTCGTGTACCCTGCCTGGCCGATGACATTGATCGCCAGGTTCCGCAATCCGGTAAGTGTATCCCCTCCCGGGTGGTTAGAGAGATAATTCAACATCGATTGGGCTTGTTCACAACTTTCCGACCAGGCGATTTGACTGATGCGCTCGTCTAGACTGGCAGCAAACATGCGACGGTGACGTTTCCTGCGAGAGATTAGAAAGAGCCAGCGTTCCAGTAAAGGCTGCGTACCATTCGTCGCCATTGGTCTGCATCTCTCATATCAGTGTCTAAGCATAAGGAGAGAACGATGACTGACGCACCGCAAACACATTAGGCCCCAAGAAACCCAGAATTTTTCCGACAATAGGGGCTTGTTCAAAGTCATTCCTGCGTTGCAAGATCACATTTCCGAGACTGACATCTGCGGTCCTAAACAAAAATTAGAAGGATGACCGTACCAGGCACATGGATAATACCCACCAGACCATGCATTCATCGAGGGTGAGCAAGACAAAGGTATTCCCCCAGCGGTCAAAGGGGCCGCGTTTCATGCGGAACTCCCAGCCATGTGTCACAATGTCCCAACGATCGTAAAGCCATCCTGGCAGAACTGGTTGCAGATATGGGCGCAGGATTGGAGCGAGAATCAACCAGGGAGCACTTGAGGTCGGTGCGGGGGCGAAGACGATGGGAAACTTAGTGCGACGGGCCTGGATATACAAGCGCACAAAGAAGAGGGCTTTGTAGATCGCAAAGAGACAGACTGCGATCCACCAGATCGATGACATTTCGAGCTCTATCCTGATTAACCTTTGATATTCTGTGATATGACAGCGAGATCGAGGCTCAGCGGCGCCTTTGAACCTTTTAAGGGTGAGCTCTGCTTACGCCAAGACGAGGGCGAGACATGCACTTGATGCTAAAGCAAGTTAGCCGGTGGAGTCTTTCCGAGTGTGTTCTAGCCTGAACGCCATTGAATTCGATGAATCTGACCGGGGCAATCATCGATCGGTTTTCTCGTGAGAGATGGAGGTCAAAAGTGGGGAGTGGCTGTCGGACTACAGTACCATATCACAACTATATTTCCTCTAGTGGATTAGTGTTTTTTTCGGAAGTGTGATCCTTACTCCCAACCATCTCGCGACTTCCTACGAACTTGACCACGACTCGCCCGTCCATGCTACTGGGTATATGCTTCAGTATCTGGTCCTCTCTCCTTGCGTTTCAGCTGCGTATGCTGACATCGAAGGGCTGACTCCCACACAATTCTACTGCTGACATTCCAATACCGCATTGACCGGCTGGACTTAATTTAAACAGGACAGGGGCTGCACTTTCTTTGTCTCCATCACCCAATTGCAGTCTGACCTTCCCGTGATGTGCCAGGATACTCAACTCCACCATTTACACCCATTCCCCTACAAGAACAGCCAAAAAGGTTTCGGTGCGTCTAACGGCTTTCCCTCTTTAAGTGCTCACAATGCAGGTTGTCGCTGTTCCCGAAACGAGAGACCAAACTCGGAGTCCTTATCAAGCACAAGCTTTATCTATAAAAGCTATACACACCTCAAATCAACATTCCAGCCATCAGTGACTCTAAGGTCTGGCCCGTGAAACATTTTCTCTCCCTCATGATGAGGATTTAAAATTGGCGAGATCATTTATTGAAAGCACTAACGTATGCTACATGGAACCAACCAGACAACATATCTGACAAGCACACAATGATTCACGGCGCATCAATTCAGAGCTGAGGGATGCCACAAGGTGACTGGCTAGCCCCGATACCCCAGTCAAGTCGACGAATAAGCCTGGGCGGATTAGTCGAAGCCTCCGCCAAGAGGCTAAGCATCGGATAATCGGAGACCCCATCCTAGCCTCGTACCGAGTTCTTCCACACAACATGGCCTGGATCAAGTAAGCAGGAGTTATGAACTTACTGAATATGATATCTACGGCGTGCGACATACGAGTAGAACCTGCAGCTCAGCTTGCGTCATATGAAGCTCAACAACCCGGTTGATGCGGAGAAGAAAACCACAGTCCGGGGTGGATTCCACATCCGACTCAGGCACCAGCTTTTCTGGCTATCGGCCTGACGTCATGTCGATTCCGCTCCACGTCAACTCATCTGATTTATCTCTTGACACACCCGGACACAGCCCAATCAAACCGGTGGGCCGTGTCTGGAGCCCCGGTTATGTTTTCCCGCCGGACAACCCCGGCTTGCCACGCACGGAGAGCCGGCCTACACACCAGGGCCGGAACATCACTGCACCATTGCCAGTCTGGCATACAGCCAATAAACTAAGTATGTTGTGTGCTGGTGGATCATGCCTGGTGAGAACAAGCATCACCGCCCGCGGTACGTCCCAGGGACGGTTAGCTGACAGGCCAGACTATGACGCCAGACAGGAGAAGATATTTTCCGTACCTGAAACCAACAACAGGCCGACACTGCTGATAGATTTTTTGGATGGTGCTGCGGACGGTCTTTCTCGACGTCATGCCATTGACTCCTGCGAAGGCTTTGGGCATGGGTTGGAGATGGGAATAAGCATAGATCGGCAGGTATAAAAGGCCTTGATCCCACGTACGTTCTGCCAAGAATTGCAAGCTAATTTAAGCATTCTCTATCTGATTGACAGTGGGGCATTTTCCACTGGTTTTATGCCTCGTTCTGCTTGCTCTAGTCATACCATCACAACTGCCCGACTAATCTCATGCGCCGCTCATCACAATGACCACGCCTGACACCCACCCCACCGATCAACCTGACAATCAACCCGATGATCAAACCAACACAACCCAAGAAACAATCGACAAGAAGATCGAGTTAACACCCGACGACAAGAAAACCCAACGCCGACAATCCGAATCCGACCACCCGACCACCTCCCAAACCGAACACGCAGCGCAGCGTTCCTCCGACGAAAGCGATGGGTCCCTCTCCCGCAAACCCCGACCAGACGGCAAGCGGGAGCTCAGCGAGGACGACTGCTACGACAAGTTGGGCTTTTCTTTCCCGTGGTACAAGAAATGGACGATCCTAACCGTGATCTTCATGGTGCAGATGTCCATGAACTTCAACACGGGCGTGTACTCGGACGCCCTCACGGGCATCGAGGAGACGTTCGGCGTCAGCGCGCAGGCGGCGCGGGTGGGCCAGATGATCTTCCTGGTGGCGTACGCGTTCGGCTGCGAGCTGTGGGCGCCCTGGAGCGAGGAGTTCGGGCGGTGGCCGATCATGCAGCTGAGTCTGTTCCTGGTCAACATCTGGCAGATCCCGTGCGCGCTGGCGCCGAACTTCGGGACGATCGTCGTGTGCCGGTTCCTGGGTGGGTTGAGTTCCGCCGGGGGGTCGGTGACACTGGGGATGACGGCTGATATGTGGGAGGCGGACGATCAGGGGTTCGCGGTGGCGTATGTGGTGCTCTCCTCGGTGGGCGGGTCGACCATCGGGCCCGTCTTCGGCGGGTTCATCGGCCAGTACCTCACCTGGCAGTGGGTGTTCTGGGTGCAGTTGATCTTCGGCGGCGTCACGCAGCTGCTGCACTTTTTCCTGGTGCCGGAGACCCGCGCCACCGTGCTTCTGGACAGGGAAGCCAGGCGCCGTCGCCAGTCGGGCGAGGATCGTGCGGTTTACGGACCGAACGAGCTCAAGACGAATCGTCTGGAGTTGCGCGAGATCCTGCGGATCTGGAGACGGCCGTTCGAGATGTTCGTGCGCGAGCCCATCGTCTTGTTTCTGTCGCTGCTCTCCGGGTTCTCCGATGCGTTGATTTTCACCTTCACGGAATCGTTCACCCTCGTTTTCGACCAATGGGGCTTCAACACCCTGACCAACGGGCTGGCGTTCTGCGCCATCCTGCTGGGATACATCATCGCGTACCTTATCTTCCTCCCGGACATCTGGCGCCAGCGGAAGATCCGCCAGAAGCACGGCTCGGCGGCGCGCCTGGCCGAGCGACGGCTACTGTTGCTGCTGTTCCTCGCACCCCTCGAACCGATCGGCCTGCTGGGCTTTGCGTGGACCTCGATCGGCCCCGCCTACGCGCCGTGGATCGCCCCGTTGATCTTTGCCTGTCTGATCGCCATCGCCAACTACGCCATCTATATGGCGACCATCGACTACATGGTCGCCGCCTACGGACCGTACTCGGCCTCGGCGACGGGGGGCAACGGATTTGCGCGGGACTTCCTGGCGGGCATCGCGACCATGTACGCGACGCCGCTGTACGAGAACATCGGCGGGAAGTTTCACCTGGCGTGGGCGTCGACGCTGCTGGGGTGCATTGCGGCGCTGGTGGCGGTGCCGATCTACATCTTCTACTGGAAGGGGCCGGCGATCCGGCGGCGCAGTAAATTCGCGCAGACGCTGGCGGCGGATCGGGAGAAGCACGCGGGGCGGCGGGCGAGTCGGTTGCGGGAGGAGGAGATGCCCTACGCGTAGATGCTTCATTATCTTGTATATAAAAAAGAGAGGGGTAATGCACATCCAACCTGGCTTTCACTCAGCTATCCAGTCTCTACACAGTATCCGATAGATCCGAACCCACCTCCCAGTAAGAAGCAACCACCTGCACCCTTCACATCCCTGTCCAGACCCGCCAAGCTGCACAACACCAATAGTCCATGCAAAGCCACGCCAAGCAAGGGTGCAACGTAGCACCAGCCAGCCCACCAGCAGGCGTCGATCACCCGTTCCTCCCGCGTAGCTCCCGCACCCTATTTTAGTTATTTAAGCACCCCCCTCCCGCCGAGCCACCCTAGTAAGGTACAGTCCTTAAATCCCCCAAACCGTGCCCCTCGGCCAATCCCACAAAATGCACATCCCCCTCAACCTCCTCACCCTGGGAACCCTCTCCCTCTCCCTCCTCTTTCTCGGCAGCACAACCGCCACAACCGTCCACACAAAATTCCAATACCGCACAAACGGCACCTGGCTCGAAAACCTGGCCCTGGGGCCAGCCCCCGCCCCCCAGGACCCCAACTCCACCCAGACCCTCCTCGTCACCCGAATGGACGTCCCGGAGCTCTGGACAATCGACATCTCCACCGGCCAGGGAGAAATGGTCGCCACCTTCCCCAACGCAACCGCCTGCATGGGAGTCACCCCGCTCGCGCGCGAGGGGGTCTACGCGGTCGTCGCGGGTCGACTCCAGATCACGGATATCGGCCACCCTGTTCCGGGGTCGTGGGGGGTATACTCTGTCGACCTTTCGGGTGGGAGTGGGTCAGGTGCAGTGTCCGTGCGGAAGATAGCGGATGTGCCGGGGGCGGGGTGGTTGAATGGGATGACTCTCTCCCCGGCCGGGAGGTCTGGGTCTGGAGGCAAGGGCGAGGGCGAGGGTGGGACGGGGGTCGTGCTGATGGCCGACTCGGTGAACGGGGTGATCTGGCAGCTGGACACGCAGACCGGGACGTACGGCGTGGCGCTGAACGATCCGGCGAGTATGGCGGCGTCGCCGGCGGATCCTTTGGGGCTGGGCGTCAACGGGGTGCGCGTGTGGCGCGGCTTCGTCTACTACTCGACTGACGCTGCGCAGGCGGTGTTTCGGGTCCCGGTGGGGTGGGATGATGCCTTGCGGGCGGTGCGAGCGGCGGGCGCGGTGGAGACGGTGGCGGAGAAGGTCGTGGTGGATGATTTCGCGGTCGCGGAGGATGGCGGGTTGTATTTGATGGCGGTGGCGGAGAACCAGGTGGTTAGGGTGACGGCGGATGGGCGGCGGTCGGTGCTGGCCGGGGCGAGGGATAGTGCCCTAGTGGCTGGGTGTACGTCCGGAGTGGTTTCAGGGGATGGGCGGCGGTTGTT